ATTTTTTTTATCAATTAAAAAAAAAATGTTCAATACTTCTTTCACCCCCCTGTATATTAGTACTCAATAGATTATTTTTTTACATTATATCTTCAACTCACATAGCCATGAAAGGTTTTCAGTATATTTATGTAATTCCTAGTAAATACTTCAAAACTACAGTCCTTGGTTGGCACAAGCTACCAAATCTAAAAGCATAACTGTCAAGTAGGATATAATTTCAGAATCTTCTAGTAGATACTTCAAGGGAATTCAGTTGGTTTAAGCTATCAAATATAAGATTTAAATGTCAAGCAGGACACAACTCCTATATAAGAATAATACCAAAAGAGTCATTTATATTATATATTCATGTCTATATCAATGATCTTTTCCAAGATTTTTTACTTTGCATTAATATGTTATACTATAGAGATTGTCATGCTGGAGGAATTGTAGGCTTTTATTGAAGTTAGACCAGAAATTTTTCCTTATGCAACCTTTTCTACTTCAACCTGTTTTTTGCTTACAATCATCAGAAAGACCAGAGGTTCTATCTTTATATAACTTAACTAAGTTTGGTTTGAATTCGAATGTTTAAATATAACATCTGTAGGAAAACTGATAAATCCACAAATGAATGATAAATTTATACATTTTTTGCTTCCTGTAAATATTAAACTAGGGACATATATTTGGAAATCAGAGAGCACTATCCATTGTGTTATTGATCTACTGGTTTTTTAATTATTATAATTACTATATTAATTATAAGAGATTTATTATATTAATTAGAATTATTAAAAATTTGTTTAATTTTAAACTAAACAATTGTTAAGCTTATTTAAAATAAAAGATAGAGATCATTCTATACTTAGTTTATACTTATTCAAATTATTAACAAATAAAAAATAATAAAGGTTTTATCACTTTAATATAAAAATAAAATAAAATAATTAATAAAATAATTTTTTTAATAATTTAATTTATTCTTTTTAAAAAACTTGTATTTTTTTTTAACTTTAAAAAAAAACAAATTTGTTTATATAACAGTTTGAAATAATTTTTTTGTTTTATATACAATGTAAAAATTTATTATTAAAAATTAAAATATAAATATTGATATATAATTTAATAATTTCTCTTATTTCTATTACCTTATATCTTAAAAAAAATGGATTTATATAGATTTTGTTTTATAATTACAATTTTAAGTTTATGTTTCAAAAAATTTTAGCAACAAAACATCTTTACATCGATGTTTAATGATATTCCAAAATAAGCATTAGCTACTCAATTGCGATATAAGGAACCATCAAATATGTTGGGATCAAAAAAATGAAAAAAAAATAAAATGGTATCAAGTTTAATCGTTTGAGATGACTTGTATGCCTTCGTCCTCGGCTAGTTCCCTTGCCCAATCAGGAAGTTCACCGTGAACTTTAACGGCGTAAACACCTGGCAATAGATTATCTTCCATTGGACCAGGCGCGTAAGTAATGTTGTATATGTTTAATTCAGAATTTAGAGAAATATTGATGAATGATACGTACTCACTTTTTTGGAAGACGCTATCCATGATTGGCGAGGCTTGAAGATCGCCGTCATACTAAAAGTAAATCGCTAATTTATTTAAAGGCATAAAATGTACCATTGTAATTCAAAATTTCATATTTACCCATCAAAACTTTTAGTTGTACAATCGTAAATTTTATGTGTTTGGTGCCTTAACTGCAAAAAGTTTTCGCAGTTATCGCAGCCGTTTTTTTTGAATTGATCGAGGTCCTAATGACAATTCGCAAAAGATAATTTATATAATGCAAGTGAATCCAAATCATCAGTATTACCTTGATCAGCGAACACAAGAGACAAGCACGAAGTCTCGAGCCGGAAGGAAATTCAGCACTTCGGTTACTATTCATAAAAAAATTTTGAATAAATAAAGTCAAATTCAAGGTTTTGACTTATTATACAAACTTTACGTCATGAATAAGACGTAGCCATATTATTAACTTGATGTCTTCATTTCAAAAATTATTGACATAATATATACAGAGTATATAATATTTTTTTATAAAAATTAAAAATACAGTATATATTCAGTATACAGTATATATACTTTAATACGTGTAAACCTATTCATTTAACTAATAAAATTTAATTCTATTTTCAATGTTTAATTAAATTATCTTATATCTAAAATTTTCTAATTGTATATACAGTATATATACTTTCTATACTGTTCAATAAATATTTTTTTAAATTAAATCTTTATAAAATCAATTTTTAAAAAAAATTTTTTTTTAATATAATTTGTAATTATATATTATTATCCATAAATCCGTACGTTTTTTAAAAGAATTTTTAAAAATAATAAAATGCATTGTGACTGTATAATTAGATATTCTAAAAATAAAATAAGAATAGGAATTTATATTGTATATGAATTTATAAATTTATAAATTTGAATTTTTATAATACGTATACTACTGGGCCAGGTAATAACTAATTTTAGTCAAAAAAAGAACATTGAATTTTACATTTTTAAATTAATAAAAAAAAGTCACTTGGTCTGGGAATTACCTTTATAGTTTTGGTAATACAAATAACTTTATGGGCGTACAAGTTTAAATTACCTAAAATGACTTAATATTGGTTGCAGTAAATCTCGGTTTCAAGATACAAACAATAGTTCCTTCAAGGTCTCGATGACTTCCCACGTTGTGAAGAAGGGATACATTTCCGTGAAGGAAGAAGGACTCAGGGCATGGATTTGGTCGAAACGATGGATGTTACTTCGGGAACAGACGCTCACATTTCATCGTAACGAGGTAAAAAGTTCATTTCCACGAGCTCATCTGGAATAACTCAGAACAGAGAATTTTTCTTCGTTTATATCCTTTTGCGCATATAATTCTGAAAACACATTTCTTCTTGCAAACAGAATACGTATCAGGCCGTTGCCTTGATTTTTCTTAAAGAGATTACCAATGTATCACGGACAGATTTGAAACCTTATTGCTTTGAAATACAAACAAAAGACAAAACATATTATCTATCTTGTAAGAATGATGAGGAGTTATACTCTTGGATGGATGAAATTTACGCGGTAAGCGAACTTCTCAAAATCCGCAATTTGAAGTTCCATTGAGTATAATTCCAAGTGATGATGCACACCATCTTTATAATACGTTGAGAAGCTCTTTCATTTAAATAATTCCTTCTCACATTCTAAATAAAACGTATGCGCATACACGTATATAGAGATCACCGCTCAGTGGAGTCTCCAATCCAACTAATTTTTCACACAACGTGCACGTGGGATTCGATCCTGTTAGCGGATTGTTCACCGTAAGTATCCTTCACGATTAATACTTCATAAAATTCAATGAGTCTTTAAATAACTTACCATGACATGCCGATCAATGCAGGGACTACCGGAAGAATGGACAAAGCTCCTGACGGCTTCGGCCATAACAAAAGAGGATTATGCAAAGAATCCACAGGCCGTTTTAGATGTATTGGAATTTTACACAGAGAATCAAAAACGAGAGCGTGAGGAGTATGGAGACCACGGTCTTCTGGGGCCAATTCCTGGGTTATCAAAAGGTGCCGATGATAAGTGGGCAGACTTATTACCAAAGAATCCTCAAAAGAATCAATTATACCCCAAACCTGACACCTCTAATGGACAAAATATCTTCCCGGGAGGTGGCATTATGAACGGGAAGCAAATGGAGTATGATAAATCGCCCAGTTTATCAAGTTCAATGACGAGAGTTGAACCTTTGGATTCTACACAAAAGACATACCATAGCGACGTGTCCAACCAGAGCAATAATTACGTAAGGATACATTTCATCGTTGTTCGTAAATATGTGACGTGATATAGGCATTCACATATTTTTTTTTTAAAAAAAAAAACTAGCGACCAGTGACTCCTCCAAATCGACCCCCAATCACACCAAGGCCGCCTAATACATTAAGCTCCAACAATATGAACAAACCCTTAAGTCCGAGTTCCGTCACACAAAACACACTTAATGTGAGATTTTAAAATATATTGTAATGCGGATGCATAATGAAATAATTGTGATCTGAAATCAATCAATCTTCTATGTCACATCTTGTCAAGTTTAATCAGACCCCTCAGACGTCGCGCTTACCTGACAAATACTCAACTGCGAATAACTATCAGCAACAACCATCATCACAACCGCAACTATCGACAACGCCCATTTCTCAACCTTCTGCCCAACAGCCGAAGCGTGATCCCAGTCCCAATCCTTCCAAGTCATCACCGACGAACCAGCAACCTCAAACAAAACAAACATCAACTCAACCCAAACAGCCCCCAAAGAAATCCACCCCCGAAAGAAGAATTAGCACAATGACAGAAGCTCAAATTATGGAAAAACTAAGATCCGTTGTATCATCGAGTGACCCCACAACTATGTATAGCAGGATTAAGAAAGTAGGGCAAGGGTAAGCACGCGCAACTTTCTACGTGTACATATATGCGTTTGTTTATTTCTGAATGAGTGTGGCAAGACTGATGATTGCCATGTGAATATTCCGACAGCGCATCCGGATCAGTATATGTGGCAAAAAATCTTATGACTAATTCAAAAGTCGCCATCAAGCAGATGGATCTTTCACATCAACCTCGAAAAGAGCTTATAGTCAACGAGATTCTCGTAATGAAAGAGTCGCAACACCCAAATATTGTGAATTATCTTGATTCTTTCTTGGTTAAAAGTAATGAGCTTTGGGTCGTGATGGAATACATGGAAGGTGGAGCATTAACAGACGTAATTGACAATAATACATTGGAGGAAGATCAGATCGCGGCGATATGTTTCGAGGTAAATATTGAGGTTTCCTGGTGGTTTGCCGAATCACTTTTTTTTCGGTACACGCTCTTACCCTAACGCCAATTTCCTTTTGTAGACGTGTAAAGGTCTTCAGCACTTGCATGGACAGAACATCATTCATCGTGATATCAAGAGTGACAACGTCCTGCTGGACGCATTTGGTCACGTAAAAATTAGTAAGTCGCATGAAAAGTCGCTTGCATTCTATGATGAATTTTTTGATCTGACTCTGATAAAAACCTTGTTTTACAGCCGATTTTGGATTTTGCGCGAAATTGACAGATCAAAAAAATAAAAGAGCAACGATGGTGGGTACCCCGTATTGGATGGCACCTGAAGTTGTGAAGCAGAAAGAGTATGGAGCAAAAGTTGACATCTGGTCTCTTGGAATCATGGCGATAGAGATGATTGAAAATGAACCGCCGTACTTGGATGAAGAACCACTTAAAGCATTGTATTTAATTGCCACGAACGGAACGCCGACATTGAAAAAACCGGAAAAGTTATCCAAGGAATTAAAGAGTTTCCTCGCAGTCTGTCTTTGCGTGGATGTCAAAAGCAGGGCCACCGCTTTGGAACTTTTGGAGGTATGTCTTTGGAACCCTCTGGTCATTCTCTTTAATTAAATTGTCTTCAGAAGTCTAAGTTCTTTATTATCATCGTGATATGATAGCATGATTTCCTTAAGAAGGCTTGTCCACTATCCGATCTTGCACCTTTGCTCAAGTTCAAGACGGCCAAGGATGGTAGATAACGAGGTTAAAGGTTTGGAATGCACGTTGGTTATACAAATAAACGTTTTCTTTGATAGTCAGTGGAAGACATAATACGTAATTTTTAATGAATGACTGTAGGATATCATAGAATTCTTAAATTTACAGTATTTAATCACATATAACTGCGAATTTAGTAATTTATAGTAGACACAATTTTAACCAAGATTTTTGTAGGCTCGTAATATCGAAGGGTATTTAATGTTACCACACACTATGTACGTTTCACATAACCAGACCAAAAGTCAGAAAAGATGGTGTTAGTGACATTGTATATATTTTTATATACCTCTTTCCTATTATTATTTATATTACATAATATATATATATATATATTTATTTAATATATATATATATACATGAACTCATTTATTATTCAAAATTTAAATTAATGAAAAAAAAAAAAAATTATTTTTATTTTTTTTTTTTTTTTCTACAATTGTCGGTAGATTTGCCGGTATCATGAGAGAAAATTCTTAAAAATGATTGGCGCGACAATCCGTCCATTTTTTTCGCATACGTTTGTATAATAAATAGTTTTTACGTGTCCAAGTCAAATTTTCTCTAGTTTTACTTGTGAAAAGAGAACATCATGAACGTTGAGGAGATTGCACAATACCAATATCAACTTGATCAAGTTAATCTTGCACTGAAAAATGAACCGGACAACTCTGAATATTTGAAACTTAAAACCGATCTCACAGAACTCATACGTCTCACCTCAGCTATAATCGAACAAGAAACGGCCTCACAAACTCTAAAAAAAACAACTCATTCACCGAAAACAAATTCCACACCGTCCACTCCCACTTCTAATACAATAACAAGTTTTTCAAAACCTCTTCAAGTAGGAGATCATTGTTTAGCACGCTGGAAGGGTGACGGGTCATTTTATTCAGCTCAGATAACTGCTATAGGTGGTGGTGATCAAGTCTTTTCAGTAGTTTTTAAAGGTTTTAATGACGTCGAACTTGTTAACGTTCAAGATATAAAACCCCTTGAAAAAAACAAAAGAAAGATTTCAATTGATAAAAAGGAAAAAGAAAAGGATCACAAAAAGAAGAAAGCCGGTGACGGTCAAAAGAAAGTAAATGAGCAAGTCGCAAAGCAAAAGACCTGGTTAGCTTTTGCGAGCGGTCCTTCGGCGGCACCCGGAAGGAAGACGACAAAAACGAAAAGGTTGGTTCAACCGCCCATCAACAAGAAAAGCATTTTTGCTACTCCGGAAAATCCGGAAGGAAAAGGTGACTTTGATAAAATTAACTAAATGAGTATGAGTATAGCGATTTTGGGATCAATAACAAATTTCTCGCTCAATTTAGTCGGCGTGGTCGGGAGCGGTAAACCCATGACACAGTTTCAGCAACGCGGTAAACATATCTTTGACCGAATTTAATTATAGACTGTGACTGAGACGGAATGCCTTTTTCCTTTCCTTTTTTTTTCTATACACACATATACCTCCAAGAATGGATGCTCACTAGACCAAACGAGAACATTGTCTTGTGTTGAAATTGGAAGGGACTTTGAATATAGGGCAGTAAGAAGAACCTTTTTATTTTTATTTTATTTTATTTGATACTTGTTTTAGAACATGTGATTTATACAAAATTTGCATCATTTGATCATTTTACCTATACCCGATATATAATTTGGAACAAAAGATTATATATAATTCAAGTGGTTTTGGTTTTGTGTCAAGGTAATGATGCCGCCAAAATGCAGCTTCACTATGATTCCTTTGTTGGTTGTTTTTTTTATGTGTGCAAAAAAAACCTTTAGTTTCTATGCAATAAATGGAGTCATCATCTCATTTTACAGAGATTCGATTGATGCTCAATAATTAACTGAGATTATTGAATTTGTGTGCTTTCGAGGTCGGCTTTATATGCTGCTAAATGATTTGTACAGCATTGCGTACCTCTGTACGTAAATAAATTTGAAAGTAATAGTATCAAATGGATTTGTTCTTTTGTTTTTGAAGGAGGTTCAACCTTTTCCTCTCATAATCATTCTGTCTTTTAGAGACATCCAACCATTCAAAAAATCCGCAATTTTGACCCTCCCTAGCTCTTCCTGCATAACACATGTAGAAATATCGACCGTTGTTTGGGCCTGATCGCATTACCGGTTTTAAAACACAAGGAATTCCACATGAACATTTGGGTGTCCACTCATCGGTGTATTCTTCTCGGAATTCTCGGAAAGTAATGTTTATCCTTTTTGAACCGGCAATTGGATGCAGATGATCGAGCACATTTTGAGGGCATACTTCATGTTTCCAAAGTTCTTGAGTGGGTGGCCACATAATCAAAAGTGAATTATGGGGAAGGGTGATTGATATGATTCTGGAAGATTTCTCATCGGATTCTTGGATTTGACGAAGACGGAATTGTCTTGTAGCACCAAGTGAAAGGGACCCTATGATGGGACGTGGTCCGAGGTATGTTAGCTAAGAATAAATAAGTCATAATGGTGATTAATTAGAACTGCATTGTTGATAGTGATATACTGTATTTGAAGAATGCTTACTTCGTCACTATGCCAGCCGACGCCTTCTGTAATGGGTATGTGCGAAATGTAACCATTCCTTTTTCGATAGATAAAACATTTTTGTTTTTACTTGACATTATTACCTCTCGAATTTGAATAACAATTCGCGACAGCGACGTTAGGATTCCAATATTCTTGTATTTCGAACTCATGTCTTTTTCAATTTGAATGTTAAGAATGAATACTGTTGCAAGCACTGTACGTGACATTTACAAATGTTTTCCTCATTGTCAATATACCTATCTCGGCCCTTACGCTTCTCGTTTACAATGTCTCTGATAGCCCTTCTTGCGATTTCCATTTCCGGTAAAAATGCTCGCGCACTCTCCGTTTTCTTTCCATTATAATACACTTCTCCATCATAAGTTTTATTTTCTTCCGTTGAGGTGTAAAATGATGCTGTATGTGAAGAAGTGACCATTCTCTCAAATAACCACCATTGATTACGCTGCCATGTTTCTGATTCTTCAAGCATTACCTTTAGAAGTGAATTTGCTAAATCTTTTGGCAACACGTCGTGAATAAGCGTGCATTGGGTTCTTTCCGCAACATCGTGAGCATGATACAGCCGTAATACTGGTCTAACGTTTCTTTTAGGCTTTGCTTTTGTTTTACTTGCCGATAAAGGAGGCCACTTTAGAATCTCATTTAAACTAGTTATTTTAAGGGGAATTTGCCCCTCCCTGCTGGCCTCGGTTAAACTTTGTTCTTTGCTACCGGCGTGACAATCGCCTTGAATTGATTTTAAAGTCTCGCTATTGGACGTGTCATGAAAGAAAAGTTCTAATTTTGTTTGTCTTAGCGGTACTTTCTTCTCTAAGCATTTTTCCGTTTCCTCCAAGTAAATGTTAGCCGCTTGCTCCATGTTGCCCTTTGCGCGTTGCAAAGAATCGAGTAATTTAACTTTGCTTGCACTTTCAAAAAGAGCCGAAAGTTGATCTAGCTTATTTTCACGTTTGGACATTTTAGCGAGTGATGAAATCCAATTGTTTATTTATTAACTTATTTTGTCAAGATTAATGTTGAATATAAAGTTGTTAATTGTTATATTTTTTAATTTACAGTAATTTGCAGAATCCTATTTTCTAATATTTTATTTCAATAATATATATATATATTAAATGTATAAATCATTTTTACAGACTTGAACACTTATTTTAAATATTTATCTTTAAATGTAACTTTGGAAATAAATATAATTGTTCTTTTTTATAAAAAATTCAACTAGCAAGATCTTGTCTAATATATTTTATTTAGTTTACATTTGTATTTCTTTTACAAAAATTACTATCTATAGACTATTGGCTTACTCATAGATATGTGTCAAGACTAATATATCAAAGTTTTGTTAGTATTGTTATTATATAAATAATAGAAATTAAATGAAATTATATTTTCTTTCTAATTTAATCAATAGTTTATTAATTTTTGTTACATTTTACTTATTTCTTTTATTCTTTCCAATTAAAATCTTTATTATTAAAAATTTTTTTCTTTTTTCTATTAATATTTTTACTTTTCTTTTATTATTAAAATCTTGTAACCTTAGATTTCAAAACTTATAAAGTTTTTCTATCATTTGACTTGTAACTGTTCTAAGTATATCCTTTATTTTTTTTTTTATTGATAAGATTGATTGTATTTTTTTTATAAATTTTTTTTACTATATATCTAAAAAAATTTTTTGAGTCATTAATAATAATATTATTAAAGTTTTTTGAAATTTTTATTAACTTTAAATAAATACTATCATAATTTATCATAATTTATTAAATTTTATTATTTTTAATTATATTTTATATATAATATTTTATTATTTTCTTCAAGAATTCTCAAAATATCTATATAGTTTTAAATGGTACAACAAATTACAAGCACTGTAGCTCAAAAACCTCGTTGATAAGCTTTTTTGATATTTTAAATAACCTTTTGTAAAAAGACTAAAGAAATGACTTTTATTAAAAACTTAAAAATGATTGAGATAATAATATTATAAATAATTTCACTTTTCTTATTATAGATAAGAATTTTTTTTAATAATTATCCAAAATATAACAAATAATTTTTTGACTAATTCTTTGAAACTATATATAAATAATTAGATTAAAGTGATCTACAATTGATTAAAACATTATAAAAAGGTTATATTTTCTCTTAATTTTAGAAAAGAATAACTATAAACAACTAGATTTATAATTATAAAACTTTGAATTTTTATAATTTTTTTTTAATTCTTCTTAATAAAATTACTATTATTTTATATTATTATTTTATATTTTTCTGTTGTTTTTTTATTGAAATTTTATTTTTATATATTGTTATCTTTTGATTTTGAATTATTTATATTAATTTATTTAATAATATTCAAAACAAAACATATATTGAATAAATTAAATTATTAAAAATTAAAAATTATTTTATTAATAATTTTGAAGTTTATTAAGAGAAAACCAAAGATTTCAATATATTAAATTGTAAATTTCATTTTTTTTATTTTTATTTTGATATCTTTGAATATTTTCTTTATTTTCTTTATTTTGTTTCTATTTTTTTTTATTTTATAAAAATATTTTGTTTATTACAAGTTTAAATTGATACAATTCTTATTTTGCTCTTTCAAAACAGTAATACTGTAATATTCTTTAATTGTTTTTTTCAATTTGTTTTACTTTTCTGTTTTTTCATTTAACTAAATATTTTCTTTTTTAAAATTTACAAATATATAGTTCTGATTTTGTTTCTATAATATTTATGTTTTTTGATTTCTTACTGTATTTCTTATATCAAAAACATATTATTCTAAACTGATATCAAAATAATATCAACTTATAATAAATTTAATATATGAATTGTAATTTACTATATTAAACTAATTTGACATCAAAATAATATTATTAAAAATTCTAGATATTTTATTTTATTTAATTTGTTCTTGATTAAAAATTCTTTATTTAACAACTTGTATCTAAATATTCTAGTATTGTAATTTTATTGATTAATATAAAAACTTATAATTCTTAATAGTAATAATAAACTTGTTTATATTCTTTTTCAATTTATTATTTTTTTATATTTCATTTTAAGTTATGTTTTATATTTTCTTTATATAACCGACATACTAATTTATTTGTTATTTTGTTATTGCTTTATAAATTCGTTAATATTTATATTCAAGTTCTTACTATCCCATTGTAATATATATATTATTTCTCTAATATATTGATTATTTATATCTATAATAATACATATTTTAGTTTTTTTTTAG